AGAAATTCTGTCGATAATCAATATATTCGACAGTATATTTCTGTCGATTAAACTTATTTAATCGACAGAAAAATTGACTGTCGAATATACTGATTATCGACTGCAGTATATTCGACAAAAAAAGTTGTCGAAGATGTCTGTCGATTATAGTTTAATCGACAGAAAATCACTCATATTCGACAGAATCTGCTGTCGAATATACTGATTTTTCCAGTAGTGTAATTAAAAATTAATGTACTATGTAGCTCCGTACACGTATACCCAAATAATTAGATTCATGCTTTTCTTTTTTATAATTGTAATACTGTTGCTATCTCCATAAAAAAAAAAAAAAATTCCAACACGGAGGTAGGACCAAAGTCATGACATATGTGAGTAAAAGGAAATGATCAGGTCACACATATATGGAGATTTTTCCCCTTTTTTTTCCCCTCTTTATGATTATGTGGATCTCGCCCATTGGCCCACACGATTTTTTCAGAATGACGACTGTCTCTTTTTGGAAGTTTAGTTTTAATTTTTGATCGGCAGTGTTTTCTTAGTTGAGTTTAGCTTAGTTTTTTTTTTTTTTAAATCAAAGATATATTAACAATAAAAGTATTACAATGTATTTATTTATTTTTTTTAACACGTATTACAATGTATTTATAGTGGTCAGCACGCAAGAAAAATTAATTACTTTAAATGTACTAAATAGTTATGATGGATGCCACTTTAAAGATTTTTTTAAAAAAAATTAATTTTATATTACGTGAAAGATTATTTCAAGCTACTTTAAACATAAATACTAAAAAATAAATGTATCCATAGCCAGTCATATAAGCATTACGTAAAACAAAGAACATAGAAGCATAACCTATGATACAAATTATAATGGTGCCCTAGACTAATTTAGTTAATAGACCAAAAGCACTAACAATCAAATGTGTACATAAATACTGTATCTAAACTTGAGTTTGAGATATGACAATTAAATATCTTTTTAGTATAATTCACCTAGACATAAGACACTAACACGTGACTAGAGTGGTAATAATAAGGTTACATGGGGTAGAAAAATTACTTTCGAAACTCCTTTAACTACTGGGTAATCTCACTTATCGTGCTAGTTTTAGGTAGAGCAGCAACTTAGTTGTACAATAGCCCCTTCCACTATACCATCTATAAATATTAGTATTTCATTAACGAATAGACCAATCTCCAAAAATTAATGTCTTTTTTTTTTTTCTCATTTTTGCATGGCCATATGATATTTTTAGATAAGAACTGTTTCAATAGAATTTTTTAACCAAAATATTTAAAAAATTCAAAAGAGCAAACAGGATACCCATAGATCTATCTAACTTATACATGCAAAAGTATACACAAAACCATTACCTTGATATAGGATTGCATCAAATAGTTTAATTCAATTAAAACTTAGCTGAAACAATCGAACAAAAACTGAAAGTTACAGTCACAATTGTTAAGGCCTTCCTTTATTCCCAAAACAAGCAAAAGGAAATCAAGAATCTGATAAACTTGTTACGGTTTTGCCTAGTGTTGCAATCACAATTTGATGAAGTCTCGCAGCCCGCACGATTGTCACAATCTACCGCTTAACCAGTCGTAAAGCTCTGGCCGCCTTCTTCATTTTTTTTTTTTAATTAATGTGTTTCAATTGGTTAAAGGTAAAAAAAAATATATATATATAGAGAATTGCAATTGCAATTCAAGCATAAGAAGAAAATTGGCAGAGAAAAAAAATAGAAGAATGCTTCACAGGAGAAGAAGAAAGCCAAAGGGAGGGACTTACTACGCGGCTAGGGTTTTTCCTAGCATGCACAAGAGCAGAGTTGTGTTTTTTTAGTTTTGTCTGGGAATTTCTTTAGGAAAATTTTACTGAATTGATAATTTTTATAAAAAGTTGTCAAGATTTTAGTCGCTGTTCTTTTATTTGATGAAAATTTGACATTTTATCTATCCAGTCACAAAATTTCTTTATATGGAGGAAATTTGAGGAAAATTTTACATCTCAAAATTGGGAAAAAAATACTTAGGAAATACAACAAGGTGAAAAATAAATAAAAATAACAAGTTTACATGTATTATTATAAAGATGTCAAAATATTCTCAAGCCAACCATTAAAAAAAATGATTAACATCACCATACAATGGGCATAGTAGTTTTTGGAGAAGACTATATTCCAAAATATTACTTAGGAGGAAATGATAAAATTACGTTACTGAATCTTGTTTTATGCATTCTTAATTTGTTAAGGATATTTTTAACTTTTTTAACTCCAAATTAAAGTTTTTAAATCTAGATAAACTATAGATAAATATTAATGTCTTACAAGAAGGGAAAAATTTTATCTAGGGAGTAGTTAAATTAGTAACAGGCTCTGCTCTCTGCTTTATTGAATAAGTTTCAATATTTTAGGGAGGTTTATGAGAGGTAATTACTTATAAAGTACCTAGTTCTAACATAAATTATATACTTTTGACCTAATCAAGAATATTTGTCTTGATATGTGTAGAAACTAACCTAATAACACTCTAAATATTAAAAAAAAAAATGTCTTTATTCAAAAGAACTAGTTTTGCCAATGACTTTAGGATCTTGAAGTAATTTTATTCCTATAGAAGTATAAAGCCTTAAAAAACTCGTAATTCTTAACTACAACCCACATTTAACAAGTAAAAATTTTTAATTCCTGATTAACGCGTTTGGACAAGATATATTAAGGAATAAAAGAATATTATGTGGACTCAGTGTAGACAAGATGGATTAAGAAATAAAAGAATAGGACTCAGTGTGGACTTATACAAACATTTCTCTTCTTATTTATCCACTCCATTTTTCCCTTTTATTTTTTTGATTTTTTTAATTAAAATAAAATTACGCTCTAGCCAGTGGAAGCTAGTGCAAGCATTTCTCTTAAGAAATGTGAAAGAGTTCTAACAAATTGGACAACCCAAAATTATTAAAACAACGGAACACTATGATTCCAGCTTGGTAGCTCAAAAATAAAAAAATCAACCAATAAAAGAAAATGATATATATATTTTTTTGGATGGTGCTACAAAATAATTTTTTTATATAAATTTTTATATAAATAAATATATTTAATATCATAAATTTTACATAAGTTAAAAAAATTAATAATTTAAATAACACATCAAATTATAAAAAAATAAAACAAAAAAATTATAAAAAATCATCTCCCACATTTTTTTTATCAGCAGTAAAAGAAAATGATTCTGGAATGTGATAGAGTAGATATGACAGGATGATAAATTTTCGCTAAAAATTATACATATAAAAAAGAAAGGAGTAGACTGCTCTTCCTAGATATACACATAAGCATAAATCTAAGAGGGAAGTGATCGGTTCAATTACAACTACAACTCAATAGCAGTCCTAGCGCCACTCAAAAGGGAATCAAATTCCTAACTTTTTCACATTAGGTGGAGGAGAAAAGAAGCAACAAAACAAAACAGCCATTGCGGGGTAGGACTCATTGTTTCACATCCGGTATTGGCAAAATCTCATCCGCACATCAAACCCCACCCACCTCCTTTTTCAACCCTTTGTGTGCGCTCTCAGCCCCACATCAAGAAAAGGCTCATCATCATAAAGGAGAAGAAAAAGTAGATGCTTTTGAATCTCAAAAGAGGCACGGCATCACTGGAGTCGCCAAGGCCGGTGGTTGTCCCTGTTGGAGCAAGAGTTGTGCCGCCGAATACAGGGTTGGTTCCGGTGGTTGTGCCCGTGGTGGTCCCAGTGGTTGTTCCCGTGGTTGGGGTTCCGGCTGTCGGTGTGGTGTTGGTTGGTGTTGAGGTACTTGTCCCAGTGTTGCTGCAATTATATTCATGAAAAACACATAATTTAAAATTGTAGAGTACCAAACCCCATTACATAAATGTGAGTTAAATTTTTTATGTAATTTGAGGAGAATGGAAGAAAAGTTCTGCTTGATGTGTCAAGCTCAGAATTGGGATCAAATTCTTGGTTAAAAAAAATCAAAGGAACAAATAAAATATCAACATCATGACAACTCACCACGAGAAGATATTAGACTAGAGGTATAAGATCTATTATTTTCTTAAATTACCGTCGGCTCCAACCAAATCTTTGATTATTAGGGGTGGGGAATCAGATTCTTCACACCGAGATTTCACCAAGTAGTGCACTCAAAGGGGAAAGAATATATATAAATAAATAAATAAATAAATAAATATATTTTAATTCAAAAAGAGATCTATAACATATCAAAAATCAGAAGAAATCCCCCCCCCCCCCAAAAAAAAAAAGAGAAAAAAATCGTACAAGTTAGAAGATATAAAATTTTTGAAATAAGGAATGATTTTAATGCAATATCTCATAAGCATACCTGGGACTTGAGGGAAAAGAACACCCAGCAACAACGGCTGCAGATCCCAAAGAAAAAAAGACATCAAGACCAATCCAAAATATGTGAAGGGGAAAAAGAGATAGGGTTCATTAAGGGACTTACTGGTAGGGGGATTAACACTTTGAGTGGCAGCTCCGCCGAAATCACAGCTACCAGAAACCTGACCTTTCCTTTGAAAATAGCTATTGGCAGCATAGTCACAGTGAGCCTTAACAGTGTTGGGTTGGTAACAGGCACCATTTTGAAGGATGGCAGTGCAATCAGCCCCAGCGCCACAGGCATAATCTAGAGTCTTCTGCAAAACTGCATCACTCTGTCCATCTTTGCACAAGCAATAGGTAGCAGCTGTCAAGAAACAAAATCATAAGCAAAATCAGAAACAAAATTAGAAACCCACAAAAGATCAACATAACAAATGCTTGAGGAAAAACTCTTTCCAGGGACAAGTATTACAACTCATCTCCATAACAGTATATATCATACGGTGGAAATCTGTACATCTAGTCTAGTATCTAAACTAGGGTTGAAAAAGAGGAACCAAAGGCTTACTTGAATGGCCAGTCATGGCCATGAAAAGCACTAAAAACACTAAAAGAGCCATGATTGATGAAAGATTTAAGGAAAATCGATGAGAGATTAACTATTTTTCTAGGCTGAGGGTTTGTGTACAGGGAAAGAATGGGAAAGGAGATCTCCAGACAGCAAAGGGGAGTAGTGACGGTGGGTGGTGAAAAAGGCTATCATATATGCTGGTTTTAGCATGTTACTCTTATTTATTTATTTATTATTTTTTTAAGGCTCTAATACATCTTTTAATATTTTATTAAATTTATCTAATGTGTATCTTAAAAATGTATATTAAGAGTGTATTAAATATATATTTTTATTATAAATTTATATAAAAAATAAAAATTAATATTTAATTTATTAATTCTTTAATTAAATTTATTCACTAAATACTAACACTACAAATAATATTAATTTTTATATGTTTATGTATATTTATAATAAAAACTATCTTTAACATGTACTCTTATAGATCAAGAAAAACCCTATTTTATTTAAGTTTTTTGTGTTTTTTAAATTTGCATCTTTATTTTTTTATTACTAATATGTATATAAAATTATAAAAATAAAGTTTGTTTTTAATACTAATACTATATATATA